CACACACACACACACACACACACACACACACACACACACACACAGGCTAACCAATCACATCACGTTAGCACAAGTCAGGTCAGGTGCTCCAGACCCTTCCCCAAGAAATTTTCACCATGCAATGTAAATACATTACAAGACAGATATAAGGTCCGTGAGCTTTGCGATACATACACAGTAGTTCAGCTAGCCGTAGATTCTGATTCGAGGTGTCCGGTAGTCGTGTAACCGCCTGGCGCTGGGTAAGATCCGCGACATGACAAAGTCACCAACAGCTCGTTTTTGCCCAAAATCTTTTCAGTGCGTCATAAAAGACGGCTTTCGATCGTTTTGCGTCTCTTCTGCTTTAGTATGCGTAATTGCTTGTTACACTAAATCCCTCTTAATCGGAAATATATACCCTGTTCAGGCATGTTCCTAACAAACTCACCTACTGTCATGATGGGCGACGCTCTCGAAACCAAGCCTTTTGTGCAGTCTGTCATTGAAAAAACTAGGCATTTCTTTGTGAACAAGTACTCACCATACATCAAACAGAGGAGCAGGACTGCGAGTCGCATCTTCTTTGCGCCTTCGGAAGCTACCGCTCGCTCGAACACCATTTCAGACGCTTGCTGTTTTCAATCACAGCTTGCTGATTTTCAATCACAGAGGAGCAGGACTGCGAGTCGCATCTTCTTTGCGCCTTCGGAAGCTACCGCTCGCTCGAACAGCATTTCAGACGCTTGCTGACTTTCAGTCACACACCTGTGTGAACAACAGCAGCAAAATGAGGTCCTGGCCTCACTGGATGCTTTGAGGCAAGATAAGGGAAGATAAGACAGGATAATTGTGTCTTCACAGGTTTTTTCAGATATAGCACGTGTCCGTACGTGTTTCATTAGGGATGACAAGTGTAGACGTGAATATAGTGTTTTAACACGATATCCGCGTCTACTCACGTCAACATGGAACAACGGTGATTAGCATGAGGCCTGTCCGTCTCACAGTGAATGAAAGTACCTTTTTGCAGAAATATTTTCCACTCTGAATCCTTGATTGGCTTCCTTGGCATGGCAGAGGGGAGAACTGTTTTATTATTAATCAAATGGTTCCCGTGTACGGCATCATTTAGCCATTCATCCTAATTCCAGAGATAAGGTGGAAAGTTTAACTATCTCGCTAGTGTAGTTGAGTCACATCGCAAACGTCGATTGTGACTCATCAATTCACAATTCCAAAATGTTTTCTTTTGATTGTAGGAGGTCTTCTGCTTAATTGATTTCCATGCGCGCGGACATCTAAAGGCCTAGTTCACGATAGTTTTGAGGCACCTTTTTGAGTCGAAAAACGAAAATATTTTTTGAAGCAGTGTCAGTGACAAAGAAATCGAGAAAACTAGTCAACGCCTTGAGAGAGAAGGCTCCCTCAAGGTTGTGAAAATATGTAGACGTTTCACAAGATTGTCATGACGGAAATTACATGGAGGGGTTATTCGGACGAGATTTTAGTTGTTGCAATTGAGTAAAGAGTTTATTCATCAAGCCAAAAGTATCCAAAACTGCCTTCTACTGTCAGCATCGATCATACCTGGTAACTCCCTACGTGGGTTGTCTCGTGAATGGTGGAGCCCCTACAAACCTTCTCTAGGCCGTTTTCCATCCTGGAAGCGCGCGTACGGTCGAAGGCACCAAAAATTTATCCCAGGGAGATCTCAAAGGCCATTTTCATTATAACTGTGCCTCTGAGCTCAACATCAAAAATTACATCCGGGCCACAACAGTCTGACACGTTTCTAGCTAGCAATGTTTACAGTTCACTGCAAAATTCTTTCATTGCTCGTTTATAGAGTAAACTCAGCACACTTCAGTCACCTCTAAGCTCTCTGGCAAGCAGTTTAGGCGAGACTAGGTGAAATCGAGTCTTAGCGTTGTAAATAAGCTGGCCGCTCTAGTCTTACTACATATAGAGCGTGACTCCTGTTGTCGTGAGAATGCAGCGGCACTGCTGCAGTGGATTTCGAGAGGAATACTGAGCAGACACAGTTTTTCTGATATTTCTGCTTCTGTTCTGTTTATTTTTTCATAAACTGACCATGCTTATACTCTTCAAATGCCTCCTTTGTTTTTTAGTGCATAAGTGTATGTACATATTCGTATCAGAGTTTCCTGGTGTATTTGATTATTTCTCAAAGACGTCCCTGAAGTTGCATCAGAATACGCGCGCGAGGTAAAGTGATAGAAGGCGAAGGATTTGTAATGGCATTCTGTGAAGCCTTCTTGAAACCGCGGGGCAGCGCTTACCTACGCTGTATGATCCCCCCGTGTTTGCGATGGGATCGAAACAATTTCGAACAAGGAATTTTTCCCCACAAACTAGCGGCTCATGCCCGAATCTGTTGGGAAGCATCTGATTCAAATCTCGTTATGGTATTATAATACCATAACAAGATTCTCTTTCAACATTTCCAGTCTCTCGACATTTCCAGATTAGGGAGAGGTAAAGAAGGTACTAGTTGTAGCAGAATATGATCACAACTCCATCCATCAATGATGTGGGACTAGACAAGTCCGAGATAATCATTACGAACCCATTGTTGGACTCAAGTATAGCTCCACTCACTTCGATAAAATAGTCTGCGGATTTATATGTTCGCTACAAAGCCGTATATTGATCCGTATTATGTGTTTTGTAATTTTCGTGCAAATATTTTTGTTTTTTGGCTTGAATCGAGTTCTGAACTTATGTAGAAGCGATAACACTTCGCGTGCCGACGGCGAAACCAAATTAGAAGGCACCACCTAACTCTGGCGCATGGTCCACCCCTCGGTGTAAAGCTCCTCCAGAATTATATGTTCTGTGTTGTGTTACCATATGATCGACCATTTCTAACTTGATCCAATTCCTCCAGGTGTTTCTCAGGTTATATTCAATTGAAAGACTGGTAGACAGGCAGGCAGAGACGCGAGTGCGTTATATACACTATACACCATATGTATGTATGTATAAGGTTGGCAAGAAAGTCCTGCGACAGAAATGTCACTTTATTCATTGATATATAAAATCTTGGAAACATATCAAATATGGGCCATAAATTCCCCACAAAGATCAATAACCTCCTCCCATCTTTTGTGCAAGTGACTCATGCCCTTTGCCCTGAAGTCAGGAGACTGTGACTTAAAAAAGGCATTTACTGTTAATTTCAGATCACTAAAAGTTTTGAACTCTCCTCCTCACAAGTGGTGCTTGAGTGGTTTGAACAAGTGGTAATCGGAAGGTGCAAGGTCTGGGGAACTGTGACAGTTCTGCCAGTGGCCAGTAACTCATAATAAACGAGTCCCTTCATATCTGAAAGGAGATGTTGGCGCTGAAACTGAAAGGGTGAGGGTTTTGCTTTGGCTGAGTTGGTGGCTCGACGTTGCGAGGGAGCCAAACGACCGTGCGTTTACTGTAATCGTACAATATCCAACTTTCATCATCAGTTACCAGATCTGCAAGAAAGTTCTTACGATTGGGCTGAAAGAGCAAAGACTCGCAGATGTTGACACGAGCCTGCTTCCCAGTATCCGTCAGTCGGTGGGGATCCATCTTGACAGTACCTTTGGATAACTGCGGTCATAAAGAAAGACTTCGATAGTGGTATGGGAGCATCCAAGTATCGCTGCCAATTCACGCGCAATGGCCGTCGGGTTTTCTGTGACAGTACGTAGTAATTCATCTTCATCAATGCTTCGGGCTCTTCCACTTCGTACCTTATCTTCAGGGCTGGTATTTCCTGAAACGAAGTGATTGTGCCGACGATTGACCACTGAACGGTGAACGGTGTATTCAAACAATGTGTTGTTGGTAGCATCAGCCGCTTCACGTGCGCTTTTCCCTCGACACCACTCGTAGAAGATGTTGGTGCAAAGTTGATGCTGAGAGAGCATTTTCGATAGTACCGAAAGCTCTTGTGCATTTCCCTGCAGATATCCTGGCTAAAGCGTTCGACCTGATTTCGCAAGATTATAACATTTCGAAATTTTTATCGCAGGACTTTCATGCCAACTAACATATGTATCAATGATTTTTGGGCTTACTGCCTTGATATGCGGTACTGACGATGTGGAGTATAGATAGATTTTTCAACACATCGTTTCGCAATTATAAACAGCTGAGCTTTGAAACCATTCCAAACATGAATAGTAAATTTTTATTCTGATATCCAAATAAGTGATACCAACTTTAAGTCTTCGTGTGTCGGCCCATGATGGACGTTGTTGCATTTGTTGGATCGTTCCGACGACATTTCAAGAAACGAAGTACTCCGCTTCTTATTGTAGGACTTCCGAGAGCATAGATAGCCCATTTCGCACTGTTGAGGTTGCATGTTAGTTTTGTTAGAAGCTCTCTCAGAATACCATTCCTTAAACAATACTTTTAATATTAGGCACATGTTAGTTGGACACAACGAACTTCGTAATTGAGAAAGATGTCCCAAATGCTCAGCCTAAGATCGGGACGGTTTTAGGGATCTTCTGAGACGATGAATCTTTGACCACCGTGCACCATTGGCAACGGGGAAACCTCGTTGAAATGAAAGCGACTGATTATTTGGGCCCTGACTCATGGCGATACATTCTTTGAGAAATGCGTTACTGTATCTAACCCCCTTGCGCTCGACACGACTAAATCTCGCCCAATTTCGTTAACATGATCTTGCATAACCCCATATACAATATTTGTTCCAATGACTAATTTCAAGCCATGTATACCACGGAATGTGGAGGTTTCTAGCTTCCCCTGCCCCCGATGCTCCATTTTTAGCAACGAGTTCATTTATTACTCAAAAAAAGCAACTCAAAATTACCATGAATTGCACTCTAAAAATGGATGCACAAATAAAGGCCGGGGATTTTGCTACAGCCGTTGTTCTAAAAAATTTGTTGAGTCATTCCTTCCACTTCGTCTTTTATCAGGATGGACAAGGTCGCACTATGATACATCCTCGATTAAGTATTTGGAAACATACGGTCCCCTTCCATTGAAGGGTTGCTCTACATGCCTTCTCGATTGCAACTTTATTAGCGCTTTTAATAAGTGATTTAACTTTTTTGAAACTATGGAGCTGAGGCTACTCACTTCAACGGGATATTGAAGCATATTGTCATGGCCAGAAAGCATACACTCAGAAGCAAAAAATTTAGTGCGAGACGTATTTCGTTGCTGATACGTCCATGATTGCGGTGTACCTGAAAGCAAATAGTTAATTCGATATGATTCTGGCAAGCTTATCACGAACTGATCCAACCAGACCTTCTTAGCTGTGAGTATCAGATTCTCAACTTTAAATTTTACAAAAAATCCAATTTGTTTCTCGTAGCGAGTCTGGGAGTGCGAATCCAGCTTTGTCCATTTTTTTGAATTGTTGGAATGCAATAGGTATGGTGTTATCGCTGCAGCTGTACCATTCTCTCCGGCCATTCTGCATAGAGACAGTCTATGTCCATATCGGCTGTCAGAATGTTATTGTTTCCAAGAATTTTCTATGAGAAATTCCCTCAGAGCTAGTTTTACATTGCCTGGAACTTCAACAAATCAAGCGGACCACCTCTGAAAATTCAGTTGTTTCCGTTACTGATTTTTCGTATGAAGTACATAGCTCCTATTAAAGGCACAGTTCACGATTATTCTGAGGTACCCTTCTCAGGCTGAAAAGTGGAGGTGTTGATGCATAGCAGAACAGCGGTGTCTGAGAAAGTGGGGAAAATTAATGGAAGTAGAGGATGGACGAGATCATCATGGCGGAAATGTGGCATGTAGAGGTGTTTGGACGAGATTTCACTTGCTCCAACTGCTCAAAGAGCTAACTAGATCAAGCCGAAATTACCAAAAGTGTCTTTTACCGTCGCCTTGGGTCATGAAAAAGTTCCTGAGCTCTGTACGTGAGAGTCCCTTGAGATAGTGCAGCCTCCACAATACAGTTGAAAGTCGTCCACTATGGGTGTGGCAGTCGCACTATACAATCTCTGGCCCCCCATACAGGACGTTTTTCGACCTCATAACAGCAGGTATGGTATAGGGCGGACCTTCGATTTCATACTGTGGAGAAATCTCAGAAACCATTTTTGTCGTGAACTATAACTATGCCTTTGAGTTGAAAAGTGACATCACAGGCTTCCTGAAATGTCGCTCTAGTCCAGTAGATTTCTTTGAAGTGTTTGTGCCTCTGAACAAGCTTAGACAGCCACGGAGAAGAAGTATTATAGGTACGATAAAGGAGACTATGTATTACTGAAAATTCTTCCCACTGAAATAACCGGACGCATTGCTCCACTTTATACGTTTCGCTTGGGAATGCGGAAGGAAAGTCGTTCAGATTAACTAGCCCAGAGGAGTGCACATTCAGTCGTAGTCTTTGTAGGAACTAGTGACAATGATGAAATCCAGTGTTTTCTTTTTTTTCTTCTGAACAATATGGTGTTTAATGCGCTTGGGCGTTGAAAGCCTAGATAATCTATTGGAAGGGCTATAATCACAGGCCGGTAAGAAATGGGAGCCTTTTTCCTCGGTTTCAGCTAGCTTTTGCTCTTGATTTCGCGACAAGCACCTGTTTTGATGCTCAAAACAGGTGCTCAGGGTGTTCTGAACCTTCTTCACTTCCCTTCCGTTGATCCTACGCTGTTGCACAGCCCGCTCCCAGACACGATGTCCGCGTGGCAGTGTGTTCCACGGCGTAACAGTAAGCCACTTGACCTATGCAACTTCCTCCCGAAATTGAAAACAGTCAATAACTAAGTAAATAAAACTGGAGGATTAAGGATACTTACTGCTCTTTGTGTCAAGGTGAATGCGTTTCTTGTCGCTAACCCGGATATGCCACGCAGTTGATAGATTTTCCAAATAATTATAAAGTCAACCAATGCCACGATTAGGGCACAAACTATCTGAAAGTAAAAATGTTGGTGATCTATACAAAGTGAGAGGATCGACATGAAAATGTCTGTGAAGTGCTGACCACCTTCAATCAAATATTTGGTGACATTTAACATACCTGTAGAGCAATATTGAAAGTCCAATATATGTATGTATATGGTCTGGTCATATCGAAATTCCAATAAGAACCTTGAGTAAAGTAGGCATAGCCACAGTAAGGGGTTAGCAACGGAACTGCAACAACACATTTTGCTTACATTAGAAACTCATTCCTCCACTGCTCATTTGTCATATGTACTTGTCTACGGGGTGAGAACACTAAAGTATGGAGGGTGCCTCAGAGTTATGTGCCCTATATAACAGAAACTTCTTATGTGGAAATATTCAATTGATTGCTTTTCATTCGCTATGAATCAGTTGCAAAGTAGGTTTTCTTGGATACTCACTTCACATTTTCTGAAATAGAGCTCTCAATACCTTCCAGAAGGGAAGGCTGACTCAATGCCACTTGCAATCCTTCGCATGCAAGAGGTGGAAGGGCAGAGTAAAATTTCTTGTGATTCCAAAAATGACTATACAGAAAGCTAGAACAATGCAGAGAAGCAAAATCAATCGAAGACCGTGCCGAAAAGAATGGAAGGGGTAGTGTTTCCAAAGGTAGGACTATCGAAATATTCCGTTTATGAGTCAATCTTGATCCTGGCGCACCAATCAGAAGTGGGGCAACGGAGCAGAATCCAACCCCAGAGGCTCCATTGCCATTACCGTCGTATGCAGAATGCTATTTCATCTCCGATCTCAACAGACAGAAAAAAATGCAGAAGGTTGCTGACTCACAATAATGGGACCACGGAAACCTTTTCGTTTAGCTTGACGAGAAAAATTCTGTGACGAACCAAATCCTCACCAGATGGAACGATCGTGCACGGCGCTAAAAGGTCGATCGTGCAATCCATCACGCAGAAGTTGTTAGAAGAACAGCACAATGATGTTTAATGGAGTATTCACGGGCCATGGTACGACGCCGGTGATTTCTTCGGTGCCGGCTTGAAAATTAAGCAAGACGTGTACTTGTAGAGCATAATGATATACGTGCTGAAGCATTGATCCGACTACGCTCTCTGAAGAGCCCGTGGTTCTTTCAGCATTGAACTAATCGGTTATCTAATCCACAGAACCAAGCTCCTCTAAAGATGATGCTGACGTCACCTGCCCACTTCGACAGCTTGGAGGTATGGCCATCTTTTTCTTCAGATCTGTACCACATTGATCCCTTTGTTTGGTTTCTGATTAGAAGAGAACCTATCGGGCTGACAATCCTAGTTTGGAGCCCTTGAAACAAGTCTCGAAGGAGGGGTACCTGCGAGCAAAACACGAAGAGATCGAGTATAGGTTTTGGCCCTCATTTGATGCTAGTGGGGGATATTTCGAGATATGATTGCAGCTCTCTGCTGCGCATAATGGAGCAAACATTAGGTTGAGTCATAAGTCCTCGGACAAGTTGGCAATGCTCATATTTATCTTACAATTTTCAAACGACAATGTTAATCATTTAAAACACGCCCCATTAGCATTGATGGTTTTCTGCCAACGCTTGGGCAGATCGTAGATGCTCTTACTCCGGAACGCTGAGAGCTGGTCCTTGAGTGCCATTTCGATGCCGTCGCGGGTTTGAAAGTCTTGACCATTAAGATGACGTTGGAGATGGGGAAAAAAGGAGTAATTCGAAGGAGCCAAGTATGTGGAACATGATGGGTGTTGTAAGATTGTCCAGCCGAAATTCCCTAGTTCAGTTTTGGTCGCTCTCGCATTGTGCGGCCAAGCGTTCTTGTGCTGGAAGTGAACTTTGTGCTGCTGTGGTCGTGTATCTTCGAGATTCGCCTTCAAACTCCTTAGTTGCCTAAGGTAGACGTGTGCGGTCACCGTACATCCTTCGTCTAGCGGCTCTCAATATTCGTGAACGCTCCATCATATTTGGAGCATAACCTTCTTGGCGTGTACGTTGGGTTTAGGGAAGTCTCCTGCATCCGCACCTTTGTCAACTCATCGTCCGCCGCTGAACGTCGGAGTAGAGAACCCACTTCTGACCCCCAGTGAGTAGGTGCTCGAGCCACGTAGGGGGGGGGGGGGGCGCTGGAGCGTTAGGAGAGGCGCGGCGGTCCATTACATACTCCTTCAAGGCATGAGGCATCCATCGACCGAGCTTTCGCCCCTTGCCGATTGACTTCAGTCCACGAACAACTGTGGACTGACTCACCTTAAAGGTGACTGCGAGTTCACGAGTAGTTTGATATGGATCGGCTTCCACCTGGCTCCGCAGCACGTCCAAAAAACTCCATTGGGCGTCCCGGACGGTGTCCATCTTCGATGGAATAGTCGCCCAACGCGAATTTCGAGGGCCACTTGTGAATTGTGATTCTGGCCGGGGCGTCCTCCTTCTAAACTTTTTTCATACGACTATCGACTGCCGCGGGTTCTTGGCCAGTTAAAAAAAGAGAGGATGGTGTTGCGGAGGTGGAGTTATAACGGGTTGAAATCAGGAATCAGGGGCATGGTTGCAGGGAAGAAGACATTTAAGTGTGTTCTTTATATGTATTCGGATGAGTTTTTTTATACTCTATCTAATGATGCGTCACGCGTCCAGTTTTGACACTTCTTTCCCGAGTTAAGATATTTAGTATTCAACACTATCACATTGTCCGAGGACTTATGACTCAACCTAATAGATTCCATTATCGTTCTCGGCTGGGCGGATGTGGTGTAGTGGCAAGTGGCGCACTATTTCACATGCATGATCAGGGGGTTAGAATCCCGGATCGATATCCGACTAGGCCAACCAAGCCTTCCTCCTTCCGGGGTCGGTAAACTTTGGTACCAGACTCGTTTGGGAGGATAAAAGCATCGCTTTGTAATTCGGCTGTTCATCGTAAGTCATTGTATGGGCCACAAACGCGCTCACTACGCCACTAAGATTCTGAATGGAAGTCGAGTGCGATAGCGCACCCCCTAGATGGGATTGATTAAAGCCAAAAACTTCATCCTTTAACCCTTTTATCATTCTCAGCTTGTGAACTTCAAATACATTGCAATGAATAGCAGCCCGTAGTTTTGGACACAATGCACCTCCGCTGGTGGGCGTAGGACTCTGTGCAGGTAATTAAGCACTGAACGCTGAAAGATTTCTGAATGAAATTTCAAGGCGGGATTTATCAACAAACGCGATTCAAGTAAAACTTCAATTCAAAGACATGGGTAGATAAAGGAGCACCCGCATGATCGTGCTTCTTGGAATGATTGGTCTCAAAATAGAGTGGTCTTCCGAGAGTGTGAAATCGTAATCAGATGTAAAACCCAGTCTTTGAAATAGAAGGAGCCAAGTGCGAAGAAGTGGTACACTGCACTTTCCAGACCACTTATCTTTTTGAGTACAATGTAGTTTATAGAAACTTTGCAAGATACTCACTTGAAAGTAAGACGCTCACAATGATAATTGATAAGTTGATCAGATGAATATCCTTCGTTGAAATGGAGCGAAATCGTGTTGGGGAGAATACTGCGACAAAATGGATGAAAGACAGTACAATCAATGCGTAAAGCTGAGAGAACCACTGGCAGCAAAGGACGAGGACAGAGGCATGCTTGAGATCAGAATCTGAACCGACTTGTATGTATATACTAATTTCGTAGAAATTTTATTCGTTATTTTAAGCAGTGACTCTAGGCACATCCTTGTCTTTTATGAAATAATAATCTCATGAGGGAAAAGTAAAGGAAAGTTAGAGAACTCATTGCCTTTTGACTTGCTGTAGTTGTAAGTTTGTGTCCTTGGCTATGGAAAGCAGCGTGCAAGACTCAGATAGGGGTTAGTTCTCCCGAAAATCGCGTCGCGGTCACCCCATCCGTTAGCGCCGTTAGCGCTATGGAAGGGGAGGGGGGAGGTGAGGAGGTTCAAATCCATTAAATCCAAAGTGGAAGGCTGCGGAAGCAGTGTCGCTTACCGTGAAGCCCCAAGGATAGGAGTCATAAAGAAAATGCATGGTGTTGGGCGAACTTTCAACATCCCTATAAAAAGATGAAAAGCCTTAATCTGGTGGGTTTTATTGATTAAGGTTGACAAACCCTCTCCTATGAGAAACTAATTTGATAAAGACTCCCAAAGGCACAGTTTACGTTTATTTTGGGATATCTAATTTGAGATGGATAATGGGAGTGATGGTCCGTTACAAAGCAAAAATGGCAATTAAACGCGAGAATCAGCTATTTGGCGCTTCGAAAATGCGGTGTGTGCTACAGAGCGCGGTTGACTACAGTAAGTTGCCTACGTGAAATGTGAACGTTCCGGTACAAATGATGCAAACCGCGCAGCCTCTGTGTGCTCTGAGAACCCGTCTGCCTCTAAGTGTACGTCAGCTTAGCAGCTTTTGGGGTCCTTATTACACCAGATCTAAGCCGTTTTACGATCTGACAGCCTGCCTTATGCTATCATTTGAGATCACAAGTCCATCTCAGGGGGTAGACTTATGAAAATTTTTATCGCCAACATGCCTTCAAGCAGCTTCAAAGCTGCCAGGCATCCAGGCTATAATGCCGATTAACCACGAAGAAATAATCCCTCGTATAAACTGACCTTCGAAGATATCCTTGTCCAGGTCATAACTTGGTACATCGTGAACTGCTTCGTTTACGTACGCGAGAATGTCCATACCCATTGAGAAAAATATGATGTGCAAAACAAGGAGACGTCTGATTTCTTTTGTTCGGATACCAATAAAAATAATCAGTAAATCCATTGCAATAATCATAGTGCTAAGAGCAAAGTTAAGCACGAAGACAGGGACAGTATTACTCATTGTTCCACTGAAATGATAACATTAAGAAAGAGAATCACGAATTTTATGATGTCGTGTGAACGCACGAAATACAGGATGTGAACCACGAAGAGAAGGAGCAAAAAATGTTCTGCTCTGTGTAAGTTTCAGTGATCGCGTTAAAAATTTCACTGTGGTAACTGTTTTACTTGCCAAACATCAAAAGACCTGAATCAGGATTGATTTGCCAAAATGATAATGGTAATTCGCCAAAACGTTTGATCCGGAGCTTCTCCGAATTTTGGTTCAGAATAATGTAGACAACAACACACTTGGGAAGGAATGCCCTATGGAGTCCATCTAATGGTCGAACCACATCTGAACTATAAGTGCTGAGATTCGTGACTCCAATCAGTTCTCTTTTTTGGATGCGCCTCACACTCGACTTCAATTCATAATCGTAGTGGCATTTACATAGTATGCATCGTGCCTATACATTATATATAGCTTGTGATGAACAGCCAATGTACAAACCAAATTTCATCATATCAAAGGGTTAAGGGTTCGGGTACCACATATTTAAGCGACCTGGAGGGATGGATGAAAGGCTTGATTCACTGAATTCCATTTTGGTTCACAATGTTGGCCAAACACCTTTGCAAAGGAAAATCAATAGTATGAAAGCCTAAATCAGATCATCGTTCCTTTCATTCCAGTCTGTCAGTCGATAGAATGGCTCTGTTGAAGAATGAATGAAGAATTAGTTGTTAGGCCAAGCAGATTTTCCTTCAAATTACACCTTTCTTTAGTTTTCAACGTTTGATACGATCTTAATCAGCCTTAACTATTTTTTTGGGATTATGCGCAAGTTGAAGCGATTCTCGGAACAATTGTGAAATATATTAACGAGAGGAAGTTGAAGTACGAGAAGGTGAAGTTGAGCTGTACCTGGATGCAAACTCGCTGAAACTTTTGTGAGTGTTTTTACCCGGTCGAGCATGAAAAATCTTTTACGATATTCTTCTATAGCGATTGGTTGTAGCGATGTAGTAGTACATAGTACAGAAACAGTAACTACGGAAACTAGTACAAAACAGAAATGAAAAGCAAAGACGATGATTACAGCGAAATCGGTGGATAGCGCTCAATCACAGCATCGTGTAAGTGATGGACGTCATTCCCATTACTAATTGGTAGGTATTCTAGAGTGCATATATGTATGGACACGTTGAGCAGATCATGCATGGATGTGTTATCTTAGGCTTGTTGTTGTTGTTGTTGTTGTTGTTGTTGTTGCTGTTAGATGAACTGTTTACGCGAATAACAGTAACCAGGGAGACCTCACCTAATGCTAATTGTTCTTTTTTGGTATTGAAACAATGCAAGGTCTCCCAGAAAATGTGGTTTCAATCTTGCAGAAGAACTTGGGCTATTGCTGCGGGTAACATGGAAACTTCGAAGTACCGTTTGGAAAATACTGGTGAGACGGAAAAAGTGATGAAACATTTGCGTCAAGGAAAACGCGAATGTTTTATCACTTTTCCTGTCTCACCAGTATTCGTCTAGAAGGAAGAGCCTCCAAAAAGAGACCCTAGAAGGTAAAAGGTGTGAAAGCCCCTTCACAACACATGGGAAGCACCAATCGAAAGACATCACGGTCACGATTTCGGCATAAAATACAAATTACTACCCTGCGAGAATGAGATCGTTGCTAGGAAGGTATTGGAAGCACCACACATCCGCAGTCGATATTCGAGGCTGAACTACCAAAAAAATGCTCGACTATTACATCTGTACCGTTGTCATTCCTTTCTTTTTGTAGACTTTGATATCACCCTGTAACCCATAATAATCATTAGTGAGGCGCAAAAAGTTAGTCGCCGTGTCAGGAACTTCTGTGTCATGTTCCTGGGAAATGTTGCAACTGCCCTAGTGCGATTGGGCGCATGAGTGAGCTGGACACAGACCAAGAGTATCGAATTACTTTGAGGTGCTTATTAACAGCTTTCTTTTTTTGAAATAGTAAACCGGTTCTACGATTATGAACCTGTTTGGCAAAGCAGTATAGGGCGTTACAGTCACTGCAGTTTGTGAATTTTTGTCGACCCCTTTCAACTCATAGTCCGACATTTAGGAAGACTTTGGAGCTGCCAAAATTAAGGTATGCTGGCATCTCTCCAGACAGTCAAGAATTAAGTTGGTGTTTCGGTACAGTTAATGGATGTGAAAAACTCCATTATACACGTAGCTGGGAACGCAGGGAGTAGAGTGGAAAAGGCTGGTATTCACTTCTGTGCTAAAGGTAAAATAAAAATTAGCTTGCTTTGCTCACGTTCCACTTTCCAACTTTCCTCAGCTTTTCTGAAAATCGAAAAGTTATAGGGTGAAAAAAAAGCATAATTTAGGCGACTTCCTGAACAGATTCATCATCAATGAAGGACTCACACCACATTTATTTCAAGGCTCCCCCGGCAACGATGTCGGTAGTCACTTTCCAGGATGTGGAGAAAGAATCAAGCAAAGGAAATGGAAATAATCACGTAACTGTTGGCAATTCGTCATTGTTTTCACCTCCTACATATACCAGCAGATCCAAGGAAATAACGTGCATGGCAGGTGATTTTTTGCAATGTTTCTAATAATGTTGTGTTTCAGGCTCCAACATTGGAGATTATTAACATTATGAGTCAGTATTTGATTGTTTACCATTAAAATCACAAATTCGCCCATAGGATGAGGGAAAGCTGGTAAAAGGAGTGCAGTCCCACAGGCAAAAGTTTTGTATGAGCTGTTGACATGATTTTGGTAGGAGAGCCAATCAATGGAGTCATGAATTTTGATGCAGGAATTCGAACAGTTTCAGGATGGCCGGCCTCATTCGAGAGTCGTAAGAGTTGAACAGTCATATCACAAAATCTGCAACATTTTTAAAAATTAGTAATCTTAGCATTTAGACAATATTATTGATAATTATAATTGATATTTCAGGATATTCCGATTTCTTCCGCCTGCTTCCAACCTAAGATCTCTCCAGAGTAAAATCAAGCGAATAGTGTTATGAAGTGGTAGCGGTGGGTGTGAATACGATGACGAAAAGCGAAATATTGAACTTGAAATTCAATTGTTCATGCATTTCAATTTTGTTTGAAAGAATGTATTATGAAAATAACATTTAACAGGAAATGTTAATAAAGAATGGGTAATGTTATTTTCTGGCGTTAGTTTCATTCATGATGGATAATGTGCACTTGTCAGTGCCCCACCCGCCCTCAGAATCAAGAAGAAATCCTCATGATTCTATGAAAATAATCACTTCTAAATAAATTTCATGATGAAAAGTGGCGTTCTCATCATGATATCGATTGTGAAACAACACTTTTCCTAACAGCTATTCTTTTCCCTTTTGACGTGTTGCTTCGATTGATTTGAAAGCTGGGAGGTTCTTGTTGTTTTTATTGGGCCCACAAAACAATTAACAATCGTCAACGAAGGTGGTGGTGTAGTGATGTACTATCACACACATACACACACATACATACACACACATACACACACATACAGATACACATACACACACACACACCAAACCTTCCATCCCTCCGGGATAGTCATTCTGTACCGGACTCCTCTGGGAGGATAGAACTATAAGAGGGGTTCAAAGGCACAGTTCACGGTTATTTTGGGTAATCCAGATTATGATGAAAAATGAAAGACAAGATCGAAACTAGTGCGACTGAGTTGAAGAAACTGCGTGCATCGGTGTTTCCAAATTGAAAAAAGGCTTCTAAAAACCGTTAAAAAGTGGGCTGGATGAGACAGATACCAGAAAAATGAAGAAGAGTGGGGCGTCCGGACGAGCTAAACAGAGTGTTTCACTGCGCGCGTGCGGGTCCTGGTGCGAAAAAAAACACATTGGTAAGCAAAAATTCATTCACTTATAAGCATAAATAAACAAAAAAATCCTAGTAACAGCAAAAGTAGCTTATCTTTTTCGGCTTCTAGGAGTAGGAAATTAAACAAGGGATCGCGGCAGCAGAAAGAAAAACAGAGGGAAAAAGAATGAGAAGAAACCATCGCCTCATCACTCGGTGGTTAGCTGATTGTGCGTGGGTCCTAAAACGAATAATAGCAATCTGTATTGTCTCGACACTCGTCTAACGTGACACCGATCGAGGGGCGGGAAAGCGAACTATAGCAGCAACGGGGCTTCCAATATGCCCTAAGCGCCGAGATTGTGGGAGCGAGAGGGTCCCTTCTACTACCCATTGGGGCGCTGAGTAGTCTTGAAGAAAGAACTTAGTAACCTTTACCGTGTAGTAACCGTGCCTTTAATCAACGCCCAAAACTTATATTTTTTTTATTTGCTATATTTGCCGGCTGTTTCTTCTAATGATTTCTTTCTTCGATTTGTTTTTGAAGAAGAGTCCCCTCAAATAGATTCAATTAAAATTACCAATTTCAATAGTTTCGAATTCAATTAGTACAAAATTTGTGGAAATTGAGAATTCCATACGACTGCAATGCAGGTCAGTTGGATTTGCAAATGCTGTTTCAGGCTTATTTTTTATATTCTATTCTCTATCAGGTAAAAACACTAAAGTTCTCTGTAAGTAGGTACAAGTTATCAGATGGCGCGATTTCTTTGGACAACATGTTGGGGTGAATGGACATTTATGTGATAAAAAAATCTGATGATCTAGCTACGTTATCGGCGCATAGTTATGATATCGGACGAGTTTAAAAGAGCGCTTAGTTTGACTAATTTCCAGTGCTCCCGTTCTCTTATCTTCAATAGCCTGCCTTTTTCTGAAAGCTTGTTTTTTGTGATCAGTCAGGGAGGGGGCTACATAGGTATGGTATGAATGAATTTCCTGGGCTCCCTCTCCTAGTTTGCCACCGTTTTACTTCACTGAAAGTTCAAAATCCTTTGTCTTTTATTTCAGGCATGTTGTTCTTCCTCACTTTGATCACCGTAGCGTTAGCTAAGCCAGTTGTGGACCATGCTGCAAATTGCCCATTCCCCAACGGCACAGACAAAGCTCTGCATTCCTACATTTGTGCAGCAGGTTCGTTAGGACAAAAAAAATGTAATCGCTTCAAGATAGGTGCATTTTCAAATTTTAGGAGAACAATTCACTGTGAGTTCAATTGACACCACTGACGCAGCAGGTAACACAGTCTACCCAATAGATCCTCGAAAACCCTTTGTTCTTCGGTTGAATGCTTACAATCATGGACAACAGGTGAATTACAGAATAGCTGTCAGAAGATGATCAAAAGAATTTTGATCTTTTCAGATTGACGATAACAGAGTGAACGTGAGAATTTTCGAATACGAATCTGGCATGACTTCATCCGATTGCACTTGGGTGAATGTGCCGACATTTGGGTTGCTGTGAGTTTGTAAAGCATCTCATTTTTGGCGAATGCTGAGTGAAAATTGGAGTCGTACCGTCGCCTTTGCACGACCCTCTCAAGTTAGTATTGCATGGGAGCCTAGGCCCTTTATGACTTGCTTCCATTCACAGCACCTTCTTCGAATGAAGGAGAAATTCAACGGCAGCAAAACCTACCGTCTCCATCACTCCCTGTACGGGCTAGATGCATATGACGTAGCCTAGATCTTTTTAGCCTTCATGGATATGAACTCTCCTCTCCGAAAAGCTTGGAATCAGTGCATTTAAGCTTTCTGCACTGCACAAGCTTTGAGCTTTCACTTACCAATAGTTTCTCCACCGTATGTTAGCCAAAAACTTTCTACGAACTTGACCATTGAGCAGTATAGCTTAAAGGAACAGTTTGCGATGTTTTTGAGTTGCTTTTTTCATAAGGCAAAACAGCGGAAGCAACATTAAAGAAAAGTGCACCAATTCCGAAAAGAAAAGCCAGAAAATTCTCAGAGTTCATTGAACCTGTTTACTCTTGAAATTAGTGCAAATAGATGATTGTACGAGATTACCATTCGGAAATGGCACGGGAGGGCTTTGGACGAGATCCCGGATGTTAAAATTGGAAAAATATAATAGTACATCGAAACAGAATTGATCGGGACAGCATTCCACTGCCGCCACGGGTCATCCTAATTAGGGACAGATCCATCTTGGGAGGATAACTCAAAAATCATTTTTATCGTGAACTGCGCCTCTGAACGGTTTATGGCCAGTCTTATCTGTAAGCACGCATATTCTTACTCACTATTACCATGCAGTTAGAGAGGCAACATGCGTTATCAGTTTTCGGGGAATACGTGGAATGACGAACATGGCCCAAAGGTCTTGCGTCTGCACAAATTTATAGCAAACTTAATCAGTTTGGCGTGCTGAAAATGTAATGGGTTCAGCACAGTTAAGGGTCCGGGAACTTCTCCCCTAACACGGCGTCGCACACGCCACACCCGCAGTCTATCACAGGATTGCGATGGAAGATTGGAGCGCGCAATTTGTAAGGTAGGGAGTCCTTTAATTATTTGAATTGGCTGGCCTCCCTTTTCAATTCCAATGCGGTCTTGATCGTCGTTTATATAGGAGGAGTCATTTTAATTAATCAAGTCCAATAAACATGAGAACTTAAAAGAAACAGAAGAAAAAACGATAAAAT